TGTGACGAAGCTGACCGCAATTGAGATGATGTCAGGTGTGAACATGCTGTGCTCCGATAAGACGGGGACGCTGACGCTGAACAAAATGGAGATTCAGGATCAGTGCTTTACGTTTGAGAAGGGCTACGACCTGCGCTCCGTGCTTGTGCTGGCCGCACTTGCTGCGAAGTGGCGTGAGCCCCCTCGTGACGCCCTGGACACAATGGTGCTGGGGGCTGCGGACTTGGACGAGTGTGACAACTACACACAGACTGAATTTGTGCCGTTTGATCCGACAACGAAGCGCACGGCCGCCACCCTTGTGGACAAGCGAACGAACGAGAAGTTCAGCGTGACGAAGGGCGCGCCACACGTGATTATCCAGCTGGTGTACAACCAGGACGAGATCAATGACCAGGTGGTTGAAATCATCGACAGTCTTGCCGCGCGTGGTGTCCGTTGCCTCTCTGTGGCGAAGACGGACTCGCAGGGCCGCTGGCACCTGTGCGGCATTCTGACGTTTCTTGACCCCCCACGCCCCGACACGAAGGAAACGATCCGCCGGAGCAAGCAGTACGGTGTGGAAGTGAATTTACTCTTTGTTGTTTATTATTATTATTATTTTTTTTTGTGTGTGACCTACGTAGGCGCATTTGTGCAGCTTTTTTGTTGTTGTTGTTGAAAGAATGTTGAGGTGCTTGGGAATCGTGATGTTTGGCGGGTTTCCGTTACGCTGTGGAATGAATATATATATATATGTTTTTTTGTGCGCTCTCTTTTTTCTCAGGACACATTGTGAGGGAAGCACGACAAAAACACGAAGTGGAAGAAATAAACTTGGAGTATTTCTCTGATTTCCTTATTTATTTTATGATCTGTGGTGGGTAATGATTGTGTGGAGCTGAAATGAATGAGTATATTCGGGGAGTGGCGAAATGCATTATTGAGTGGCGTGTGTTGAAGGGGGGCAGGACGTGCGGGACCCGGGTCGCTAATATCTAACCGATGCCTTTTTTTTCTCATGTATCGATTAACTGGGATGCCTCTTGGCATTGGGCAAATGATTGGAAGATGTGTTTATTTATTTATTTATTTTATTTTGGACCACTCTTTCTTATGTTCTTTTTTATTTATGTAGGAGCTGGTGAAGAGAATGATTGCGAGGATATCTGGCTAACTTAATTAATTAAAACCCTGATAAAACGAATGCACTTTTTTATGATATTTTTCCTATCTTATGGACGTGGGAAGAACACGACTTTGTAGGGGCAGGGAACCGATAGAGGCCAGATAATATTTGTTTTTATTTTGCCATCCCATCCACCCCCTTTTGATTCCCACCACGCGGCGAGGTCTTGTGGTTGGAGGACCCCAAAGTCCTCCACTTCGTAAGTAATAAATATTTCAGATCCTGCCTGAGTTCAAAAGGTAAGTTGAACGGTCAAAAGAATATATGTGTTTAATCAGAAGAAAACGCCTGGGCATTTAACTGCCTCTAATTACATTTTTTCCCCCATCTTGTTTTTGGTTTTATAGGAAATTTCAGGATCCGGCCAGCTGCACAGAAGATTATTCTGGCGTTTTTCTTTTGGAGTTCTTTTTTGGTCCCGGACATTTTTCACCGGAGGGAGCGCGTTTAGCCCCGCTGCAAAAGAGTGGGACGGGTGCGAGTCTGGGAACATCCTAGGGGTTAAGAGAATTGTATAACTAAGAACTACAGAAGGCTGCGGCTTTTGTGTGGAAAGGCGTACTGTTACGCCCACCACGCCAGGGGAAATAACTGCACCTATAGATCCAGAACGGAAAACGCAGGATTGCTCTTACATTCATAGCGTTATATTTCTACATTGGTGTACATTGTCTGAAGAAGGTTTGGGGCAGGGAGGTGCTTGGGTGTTGAGGAAGCTGCTGCCATCTGGTACGAAAAAAACAAAAAACAAAGGAAGAAGGAGATTGAATTGTGTTGGGGGAACGGAGACAAAGGGGGAAGTCAAGGGAACTGAAAAAAACAATGACAAGAAGATTGTCTTCAGGTAATTTTCCCCATGCACCGCTGGAATTGCCCCAAAATAAAACGGATGCATCCTCTAGTTCTCCAATTAGTTCGAGAGGGGAAAATAGCTTTTTTTCTTCAGTGAGATCTCGCAATAGGAACAACCGAACACCCCGTGAATCACAAAGTTGCCAGGAATTTGTGCATGTAGTAGTTCGATTGAAGCCTCCCGCGTCTCACACTGACAACAGCACCGTTTTGCGGTTCTCTGTTGACTCTGGCACTTTAGGCACTCCTCGCACCGGCTCTCGTCGGATTAGGAGTACTCCGGAGAATGTAGCTTGCCCTGCGAATAACGTTGAGGAGGAATCAGTTAGTCGTGGCAGGGTTCAACAAAACGAAGTTGTTTGCTCAGCAGGCAGCAAATGTCTCAGTAGCCCCGCCATATCCGCATTACCAGCAACGATACCGTCAAACCAAAATGGGTTGCCCCAAGCATTGGCTTCCCCGCGGTTAGGTGTGGCTGGTGGGGGGAAAATATTGACTATTGCTTTCCCCGCGTCGGATGGCGCGAAGGAAGCGAAGCACATGTATGAGTTTGGCGATGTCATTGACCCCTCTGTAACAGATGAGCAAATGTGCAACTCGATGGTTCCAGGCATAATAGATCAGCTGAAGACCGGGTTTAACGCTTGTGTGCTGTGCTATGGCCAAACGGGTAGCGGGAAAACGCATACAATAAACGTTCTCATTCCCGCCTTTATTACTGCCTTGTTTGATGCTCTAGATGCGGAGAACGACATTGTAGAGGTGTCGTACATACAAGTATACAATAACAATGTTTATAATCTGCTTGGTGAAAATAAGTCTGAGCACGGGGTAATCTTGCACAAACCAAGGGGTACGTTGGTAACTGAACCGCGATATCTTTTGCGTGATGCCGCAGATGCAAAATCAAAAATTGCTGAGGCGCAACGCAAACGATTTGTGGGTTCTCATGTATTGAATGCACGTAGCTCTCGTTCTCATGCTCTCCTATCCTTTCATGTGACAAAATGCATTGAGGGTATTCCTGTACTAAAAAGTCGACTGACACTTGGCGATCTTGCAGGTTCCGAGCGCGTAAAGAAGACGGGTGTTGTAGGGGAAGAGCTGGAGGAGGCCATTGCAATAAATAAATCTCTTTCAGTGCTACATGCTGTCATTAGGGCTACAGCAGATGATGCGGATGTGTTGCCCGTACGAGAATCCATCCTAACTCTCTATCTTGCTTCGACTCTCACTGATTGCTATCTTCTCCTTATTGCAACTGTATCCATGGAGAAAAGGGATTATGCTGAGACAAAGAACTCTCTTGACTTTGCAACCACGGCAAAAAGATGTGCTCTGACAAAGAGCAAAAGCCGCGCAAGAGATTTTCTTATGAATGGAACAAATAGTTTTGAGGAAACCTACACGCATTTGATGAAGGAGGTGGAAACATTACGTCGTCGTGTGTGCACACTTCAGGAGGAAGTAAATATTGAAAAGCAGCGCTCTGCTCTCGTATCAAAGGATGACAGTCTCAATAAGACGCCCGCAAAGGCAGCCAACAGATGTAAGGCCGATGATAATTCTGTGCTAGTTGAGGAAAACCCCGAGGCTGCGAGAATGCGCGGGCACGTCCTGGAGTTGGAGCGTCAGTGTGCCGTTTTTCAGAGCATTTTGCGTGATCGGGAAAATGAGTTAAACGCATTTGAATCAAGAGGGGATATTGCAGAGAAAGTACGTCGGGAACTACAGCAGCAGGCGAGGGAAAGAGAAGAAGCGCAAAGAGCTCTTGAAGAGGCGGCACCTCAGTTAGAAACAAGTGAATTACTCCGGAAGGTGACTGACACGATTGTGTGGATGCAGGAGCAGCTGGATGGTTTATGCCAACAGAAAAAGTTTATGATGAAAGCAATGGAAGGAATGCGATGTGAACAGCACCGGATTATGACGGATCTTCTGGAGGCCCGAAAGAACGTTTTGCAGCTCGAAAATGCCCAAGAGGAATCATTTCGGAAATTTAACAATGTTTTTGCTGAAAATACGGAACTGAAAGGTATAATTGATGAACTAAATTTAAAGCTTCTACGTGAGTATGCTGAGCGTGCCATTCGTGAGGAGACGATGTCTTGGTTCAAGGCATTGACTGAAAGAGATGAGCAGTGTGAGCGATTGAGAGCGGCCTTTGAGGATCAGAGAAATCTTTGTGACGTTCTTCAAAGTCGTTTAAATAGCACAGAGCAGGAACTTGATCGCAGCAGTAAACACCAAGGTGCACTCCTGCAGGAAATGCGGAAAAAGGACGAAGCGTTTCGGACTATTTGGCTTTTTCTTACTCCACAACAGAAGGCGCGATTTATGTCGTTTGGGGATCAGAGTGAAGGTGCGAACGGTACACCCTCTTCCTCACTGCATCAGGGCCACGAGAACGTACAGTTGCGGAGTCAAATACGAACTGTGAAACGACAACTAGAAGAAGAGTTCTTGCGCAACAAGGAGCTGGAGTACAGAATAGAAGATTTGGAAAAGGAAAATGAACTTCTAAAGAAGCGGCTTCAGAATTGCGAGGATGAGTATAAGAGCCTTGTTTCTCTTGAGCAGGATTATAGAGAAGAACGTGAACATATGGAGCAGCAGATTGCGTATCTTTTTACCTACATTGAGGAACACAACGCGAAACAGCAAGTTTCTGAACGCCAACTTTGTGAGTTAAAGTCAGAGTGGGAGAGGTTGAATGAAGAGCATCGGAA